GAAGCCAAATGGGCCTACAGGCTTTTGACAGTATTAAAGCAAACTATTTTTAATCGTAAACAAACTATTTTGTGTTCATTTCAGTCATGCTGTTTCAGTTGTAGAAAATAGCACCACCTTAAACACACCTTTATTACCCTGAAATCCATATTTCTCTCAAGAATTCTAGCAATTTGTGCAACAGTAGCCCTATTTTAAGCTAAAACCTAGTATTTTCGCCATGAAAAAGCATGCTTCCGCCTCTGATATTGGACCTTTTCAATAATAGGACCAACTTATTATCTAGGTAACAAGGACAAAATAAATCACAGCTAAAAAGAGCATACCAAAATTAGTATAATTGCCAAGTTTGGTTTCAAAATGTCAAGTAGCACAGAAAAATATAGCAAAGCGATTTGGCAATTTTGTACACTTTTCTACTACGACCGGAAGCGTGAACTAATTTAGTTACACACCTCCGGCCGTAATAGAAAAGTATACAAAATTGCCAAGCACTCAAACTTGGCAGTTTTACTAATTTTTGTATGTACGTTTCGTAAATTCGCTTTTTGTCAATCAAAAGTTGGTCTATTATCCCGAGCGGGCTCGGAGCGCCTGTGAGGGTACTAATTCCGCTCGGAGATTAGGTATTACACCCGTAGATCCAAAGTTGTCTAAGTTGTCCAAATTCTTTGTCATGGACGGTCGACGTTGGGTGGTTTTTTAAGTTATGCGCATGCGCGTATAACGTCTGGTAGTCAACGAACGTTCTGATTGGCTAAGACAGAAAGTTTGTATCTCAATGAGAACGTCAGCAATTTATATTAACTGTCATTTCGTAAACATTTTTGTAAAAGCGTTTCATAAACTTTGTGCAAAGAAAGTAAAACGAGAGGAAACAAGATATATGAAGCATGACAGTTAGCAAAGATGATACGGTCAAGACAAAGCCGTGTATTCATAATCTGCAAACTTATAAATGTTTTCAAAGACAAAGGGTACACGTGTTTACTTTGTTTATTTCGTATTTGTTTTGCAATAAGAATGAGCCGTATTTGTATACTTTTCAGCTTTGTATGCCGTTTATTTGTTAAATTTTCAGCTTTTTATGCAAACGCATAAGCCTGTGAAAGGCTATTACACCTTTGCTTTAACTTCAAAAAGTGTTTTTGAAAGTGTAATTTGAATTTTGGTATAAAAAATACACACTATATTTATAAAGTATAAAACTTTTAGCCACCGGCGTCGACTGCAAAATACAGAATAAAATAACATTTGAAGTTTTTTCTTTGTCTGTGAAGATTTTGTACTGTTTTAATCGTTTGAAACTTCGATTTTAAACCGTTACTTAATTGCTGGCATGGTATAATGCAGCAAAATTGAACGGGCAATGTTTACACTAGCTATAATATACTCGGTAAAATATAATAAGACTGATTTGAGTTTTGTGTCATTTCATAATATAAGTTTAGGTCAGGTTAACTCAGGAAATTGTGTACTTGGTTTGAAATAGCGAGAGGTTGCTGCATGCATGTATTTCTAGTTTACACTAGCCGATCAACGCTTGCCAAAAATTTATGTTCGAGCCTCGTAAACATTCGTAAGTAATTCGTAAATTTCCGAAATTAGAATCCTCGTATCGGACAATTGGGCGTCGACACGACAGCATTAGTGTCTACTGCTTCACAGTAGACACAAAAAGGGACAGGTATTTAGAGTATTTAGTAAGCTTAATTTTTGGGTATGAAAAGGCAGTGTCCAGTGAACTTGTTTAATATATAGGAGATGTCAGACTTTAATTGGGAGAGGAATTTTTAATTGTCCCAAACAAATGGGTGCATGTAGATTACTATTACTATATTTGGTTGTTGAGTTATGCACTCACGAAATGGTCTGGCATAAGACAGTGAGAATAAAATAATAAGGTAGAGTTCTTTTGCATGCATGGCATATTAATGTGTGAATTCAAGTACCAGTAACCGGTAGTCAGGGACACCGGAAAGGGGCCCTTATAAAAATTCCACATGGGTTCACATATGTGATTTCATGTGAAATTGTGTGATATCATGTGAAATCATGTGATGTTGTGTGAAGTTTCACATGTGAAAGGATTTCACATGGAATCACATGTGAAATTTCACATTTGAAACGATTTCACATGGGATCACATGTGAAACTTCACATGTGAAAGGATTTCACATGGGATCACATGTGAAACTTCACATGTGAAAGGATTTCACATGGGATCACATGTGAATGGTTTCACATGAATGTAAAGTTACCCATCTAAAAGTTGCACATTCCACCTGGAATGATTGGAATCACATGAAAGGCTTTATCATAAAAGCACATATGAAAGCACGCCCTATAAGGTTGACAAAATTTCATGATATGTGAAATTTTCTCAAAGGATTTTTCTATTATATGAATTTGAATTTAAAAATATTTTTGCTAGTGAAACATTTTTCTAAATAAAAGCGATTTTAATTCGAACGCAAAAGGATTTCAAATCCAAGTCCAAATTGCAAGATTAGAGACTAATATTGGTGTTGCATGTGGTCGGTCTTAATTGCATGATCGAGATAGCAGCCTGTTCAGCCTGTCATAAAAATGTGCAGTATTCAGTACCATGTACTTGATTAGGTATTAAAACTTTAAAAACAATAATGTAACACACAAGCTTATGTAATTCATAAAAAACTATATTTAACAATTAGTCGCCGAAGGCGAGGTGATTACAAGCCTATATTCACTGAGCCGAATCATAGTTATTGTAGTGGGAGGATTTGGAAGGCCGGGTCACGTGACAAAATAACTTATTGTTCTCGGTCACGTGGGACTTATAGTGCAACGCTTGAGGCGTTGACATATGCGAAAGTATATTGTTTCATCGAAGCGGAGCGCAAAACATTAAAATTTATCGGGTTTTTTCGCGATGCCGGGAGCGAATTGCTCCATATTCGGCTGCGGGACATGTCGAAACAGCACTGGAGTTGGAATTTTCAGGATTCCTTCAGGAAAAGACGAATTATCAACGAAGACGCGTGAAGCATGGATCAACGTAATTACAAAGGATCGCGTAATAGACGAAAATTTGCGCAGGCAAATAAAAAATGGGACGTTGTATGTCTGCGAGAAGCACTTTAAGAAAGAAGAATATGAATGTGGTAGGTTTATTCTAACTAACTATTGTTTTATTTATTGATATTCAATAAAATATTCTCGCGCCGAGTCGAGCGCATGATTTGATCATGAAGAGATGACAATAGAATACTGTCAAATGTCAATAGACTGTAATATTGTAGTCTATGCCCTGTGGTGTATGCAAATTGTTAATTTCCATTTTAAATTACTTTGAGCATTTGCATAATGGCTGAATTTAACATAATTTGTATAGTCACATAAAGACAAATCGACAAATTTTAAATGATGTCAGGATGATGTAGAGGAGTATTTTGGCTACCAACGTGCACAAGGAAGAAGAAGTGACAACCCAACAGCTGCTGAGTTTGGCTACAATGACTTAAAAATTGCTACACTCAGAGATGTTGCACCTGCATCAGTTCAAGGAAATGTTTCTGGAAGGCATACTGGAACCAGAAGAAAGTGGTATGATGTAAGTAAAGAGCCTTTGCCTAAAAAGAAATTAGGCAAAAAGAAGAAAGAGTAATTTAAGCAAACTAACACTATTTTTTTTATAATATTGAGGTACTGTACACCAAGTTTCAAAAATGAAATTGATAGAAATTTTGTTTTTAAAATGACATCACTCTTAATAATGTAAAGTCTTTTTCGGTCCCAGGTTTTACATTTTCCATTGATGCTATTATTTCTATGGGTGGTTTTTATTTTGATAAATGGGTATGTACCAATGGACCTTTTTCCTTTTGGCTTTCAAGTTTGCAATGTGTGAAGGTAGTTGGTTTCAAGTGTGCAATGTGTGAAGGTAGTCAATTTGAGTTGTGATTTTGCCATGTTCAGGAGCGATTTAGTTTAACATAGAAGCAAAAAGAAGGCAAGGTTTTCTTACAAACAAAATCGCATCTAAACAGAGCGATATTACAACTCAAAGTTGCTTAATAATCAACTACTATCACACATTGTGCGCTTGAAAGCCAAAAGGGGAAAGCTCTATTAATTAAGAATGACACAAGTGTTCCTACTGTATCTACTTATTTGAGCCTTTGCTGAACATTCCTAATTTAGAAATTAATTAAAGAACATTAAAATTAACTATAGATGGTTATTACAGCTGGCTTGTATCATATATTCTGTGTAATTGCTAAATTGTTTTGTAAATAGTTTTTCATAGTACTAAAATATATTGATTGATTGACTCATTAAGCTGAAATCTAGCATCATTTGGCTAACAACACTAAATCTAGGATCATTTGAGTAAAATTGACTGATAATAGGCAGAGTAAAAGAAAGAATGCATTGGGTGTTGTAGTATATTATTATGATTTAAAATTATGAAGACAATTCAGTGATACAGTACATTATTACATTTACAACATTTACATTTATATTTACACTACACTATAATATTTACATACTCCATGACTATTCACACTCCTCACTGGCAATTTTCATGTCTTTTCGTAAAGCTTTCTTTTTCTGTGTACCTTGACTTAGCTTATATTTATTTACAATATCCTTAGCAAAGGAAAAACACCTTACAGTTACATATAATTTCACAACATTCTCTAAACATAAAGTTTGACACTCCTTTGAAGTTTCCATATCACAATTTTGAACAATGTTGCACCACATATTTATCACAAGAGGGGAATTTATCACTTCATTAACAATTGCATCTACTGGTAGACAAGTGAGTCTCTCTTTTTTCGAAGTGTATTTTCTAAATACTAACTCTGGACATCTCTGCGATGCTTATTACCCATGAATGTGGTGACCAAAGTCCACCTCTTGACAACGATGAGACATATTCATTGGCCTCTGTTTCTACTCGCATTGAGGACATCAAGGCTTGAATTTCTTTGTTTCTGGAAGATTTGCTTCTAGAGCAGTTCTTGCTTTTCTGATACAAATGGTCCATACTCCTGAGGTGTCAATTCTTCCTAAAATTCAGATGGGAATCTTTGATTAAAATTAGTTTGTTGGTTAAGAGTAAATACCATCCTAAAATGATGACAGGGCAAAATTGAATTAAGGTTTGTATATACAGCATGGTCAAATGTAGATCTGTTAGTATCCATAAATTAAATAAGCACACCTTAGAATCAGATAGTCCCTGGTCATCTTGCCTTTCCTTTAGTAACCCAATCAGGCGTTCTGGGAGATGAATGAGCATTAAAAATACCACTTTTTTATTGTCACATGGATGAAAATATTCTCTCCAGTTTGAATTGGTACTTCCATAAAACTCTTTCAATAATTTGTCTTGATTACTCCTCCTTTTAAATTTCACCAACAGTTGATTGGCAAAAGTAACAAACGACTTGCTTGGTTGAAGCTTGAATACCTCTGCTGTATGCTCCTTTCGATATAGTTTTTCATCAACCAAGTGTCGACCGATATCACGAATTAAGTCACACACTTTTTCTTCTGATATCAAGGGTATATCTGATTGAATTGAGGATCCCTCGCCCAATTCTGCAACATGTTTACTACGTTGGTGTCTTGTTAGGCCACCTTTGGACTTGCACACTTTCACGCAGAAATCGCAAGGAAACTGTTTCTTTCCTTCAACCTAGAGACGATGCGTCGTAAGAACAAATATATATTAGGTAAATATCTTTGCTAACAATAATATATAGGTATCATTGTCATATTTCATACCTCTTCAAGTGCTTGTTCAACTTCGACTTGAACCTCATCCACATCCAATTCTAGAAGCGCTATTGTCTGTTCGAAATCGTCCTCAAAGGGCGAATAAAAGCTTTCTGAATGCTCAGTATCGAGTTCCTCGTCTATTTCCATGATTGAAAACCTAAAATGAGCCTTTTTTCGATCGTTGTTGCGCCGAATTCGCTTCACAATTCACATGAATGTTGAAATAGGATACCTCACAACTGACACAATTTCCTGGCACCCCGTTGATAGGTATACATCGCGTCGGCAGTTTGGCTTATCGCTCATAAAAACATCCCAAAGTTTGCCCTTTACGATAGAGATTTAGGATAAAATCTTATATTTTACCCAAACATTGTATAATAAGTGAAAATTAAAGATTTTTAAGTTGTCAATAGAGAATTCTATTACAAATTATCGCCATATTGCACTATAATTGTCACGTGATGCACTCTATCGAGTTGAGCTTATAAAAGGGGGTGTGGTCCTTTGAAGTTCACCGGTCTTCCAAACCCTCCCACTACAATAACTATGGCCGAATTAAGGCGAAGTGAATATAGGCTTGTAACCACCGAGCCTGAGGCGACTAATTATTTTAGTATAATTTCAGTATTGAAAAAGTTTTTTTTATAAATACAACTGATTTATGTTCTCAATTTCTGCTTCCGAAATTTTTCCAAAACGATTTCAGCCATGTTTTTTTGGGGAAAAGCAATAGTTACTGCTCAGACTGCTCTGAGCAGTAACTATTGCCTCATAGTTACTGCTGAGGGAGCCAATCAGAATGCTCAAAGGTCATTTTTCAATACTGAAATTATACTAAATTTATATATAGTACAACAATAAATTAGTTTGAGTATCTATGATAATGGAACTATATGTTAATTATGGTATAAAGTTTAATCTCTGTCTAAAGTGTTCGGTAATTTACAATAGAAGTATTTTTCAGGACTTGAATCTGAAATGATCGCAAACTTATCTTGAATAGCATCCAGTTGTACAATTGACAATGCATGAGACGTCTCCGAAAGTTTTTGAACGTGACTGCATAAGTCGCCATATCCATTCTCATTACTTAGGAGTGCATCAGAAAGGTGGACCTCTCGTCCAAAAGCGATACTCTTAACTTCAACACATTCTTTAAACATGATAAGAACAAATGCATCAAGTTTAAATGACACACCATCTTTCGTTCCTGTAACGTCATTCTTCCTTCTTGATCTTCGCTTGTATTTCGTGCAGTGAAACACGTTTCCGTTTACGATTGCTTTAGTGAAAAACTCCCCTTCACATTCAATGTCACTCCTTTCATAAAACTCCTCGACGAGATACCTTTCCTCCACAGTCAGAGGTCTTGAATAGGATGCCCCCAAGAAAGTCACATTTTGTTCCATTTTTCTTGCCTTCTTTAGCGGTGCGTACCCATTCAGTTGCTCGTTCATGAAGCAGGCGACTTTATCTTCAAGAGGATCTGTAGTCTTAACATTGCTACATATCATAGACAATTCTTTGTACATCAGGAAAGAGTTCACAATTTGGTGTGGAACTGCTCGAGTCCCATGAAATAAACTCAGAAGTACCATGTTAAAGCCTTCAAAAATATATGAGGAGTAACATGGCAATGGACCCCAATCAATTACTGCTTGTACTAGATGGGTCAGCTGATGGACATTGTATGTCATATGCATTTTGCCATACAACACTTGAAATCTTTTTGTAAACTTCGACAAACAGTGGTCAGCCTTGTTGAGATCTGCAGAGCTAATACTTGACTTGGTCAGCAAGTAAACACCTTCTACCAAAAGAAGTAAATGTTTAAAATACTGTGGTGGAAGCAACCCATGGAGAATTACTGGCGAATACAAGAGTAGCCACCAGTGCCATTCAGAGCCCTTCCAAAACGCTCTTTGTGTAATAGATCTTGGGATCCTTGTAACCTCTTGCGGTGGCATTATCCTTTTCAACAGTGAGTCAATAAGTCCAATGTCTTTGCCAAGATACCATGGCTCATTGTGATTGGTTGAATCAAACCATAGATGCCCTAGTTGTCTTGTAACACCCAGGTCTATGCAATGTAGGTTGTCTACAACAAATCCTCTTGCAATGTCAAAGTAAGGCAAATCAGACAGTTTTGTTGGCCCTTTCACCCCTTTTACTGGCTCTTTTTTTCGGAAGGCAAGTCGACCATCTTTCTTTATTTTTTCATGTGTTCTCAAGTCAGGCTGCACGTCCTCTTCTAGGTAGACCCTGCAATGACCACGTCCTTTTTCAATTGTCTCTCCTGGATTTTCACACCAACTACAGCCATACAAACCATTAAATTGCCGGATATTCTGCAAGGTACACCTTGCCACACTGTCACACGAGCAAATGCACGAGCAAATGCACGCGAAAACTCGTGAACAAACATTCACACCACCTCGAACCCATTTCATTCCAGTGTTACTTAAGTTTGTAAGTTCCTCTGTAAAAGGCCTAAGGAAAGTAGTCATAATAGGTTTCCCAGTTCCAAACCATAAACCAATTAAGAATATGTTTTCTTTCCTTTGCTTCGGTGGAAGTTCATTCAAGATTCCCTGGAGTGGCCAAATCCCAAAGTTTGAAGACTTGAAAATTGGTACTCCATCACAATTGAAGGAAACACTTAGGGCATTTGGATCGGACATCAACAAGCCTCCAACAATAGATTGGTATAATTGGCCATCAAAAATATCTTCAATAGCTGAAGAAGACACTTTGTTCCTTGTAAATCTATATGCAAGGTTTAAAGTCTCACCACACTTTGTGAACAAATCACGTATTTGCTTTTCGAGAGGCAAGTAAATGAAGAAGTTCCCATCTCGCAGTAGCACATCCTTTTGATACACTGCATTACATATTGTACATTCAAGGCATTCAAATCCTGTCAGCATTGCATTGCAAATAGGGCAATACAGTTTGAACTGAACACCTTCCTTAAAAGGATTAAAATGTTTGTCAAAAAGATACTTTGTCTTTGGCAGGCGTGAATCAGCAGGGAGCAATGCAGCTAGCAGTCTAAGCAGGTTTCCAACAGCAGCACCAGATAGATTGTTTCCAAGAACAAATGCCATTATCAACAACAAACATTGACCAACAGTCACATTAGCTCCTCCATAAAGTGGTTGATCAACATCAGTTTCATTACTCTGAATTTCAGAAGGTGACAAAATTTATTATAAAGATATTATAAATGTAGGATATTTCTATAAAAATCATTTTAATAACATGAAACTTACATTAAAATCACCCAAAACATCGTCATCAGTGTACTCTTGGCACTCATCATCTTGGTCCAAGCTATCTTCAAAACAGTCCTCTTCTTGCTCTTGGATGGATCCTTCATCAACTCCAAATATGTTGAAGGCTGATAAGAAAAAAATATAACATGAGTCATCCTGATAAATATAGATTATATTATTTAAATAGGTATACACTAAACATTTCACATAACTTCTGCAAAAAATATTCCCAGTTTGGTTCAACTCCTCAAATGGCTTACACTTTAATAAAGGATTAAGGCTGGTGCATGAAAAACCCCCTCATCACAATATATATATACTAATTATAAGTCTTGCGCCTAGGTATACAATACAGTATACACTGTATATAATACATAATCTATGACATTATTACGTAGACTTTCACTGCTATTGTTTTTTTACTAGGTTTATCATAGTAAGGTATAATTGCAGAATACCCTGCCACATATATTTCTACTGTGTAGCCGGCTACGTAGTCAGAAAAAACGCGCTTAAAATGGCTACGCGGTCAAATTACTACGCAGTCAACTTGCTACGCCGGATTAATCATGACGAACTATATTTTGCCAAAGTTATGCCTGCTCATAATGGGTTAGTTTTTTTAAATGAATTTCGCTGTTTATAGACAGGCTCAGGGCATGACAGAAATTATTGAATAATGATTAATGATGCTATAATACTTTTTTTGATCACAACAATGACCAAGAATATTTAATGATGCTATAATTCTTTTTTGATCACAACAGTTACCAAGAATATTTAATGACAGATTTTTACTTCAGTTACACTGCATGCGCTATAGCCGGCAGTATAGGCTAGAAACTTAACGCTATTAATGACCCATACTATAATGCCTTTAATTAAAATATCCTTCCGGCACATGTCCTTCGCGCTCCAGAGCTGACTTAATATTCAATGTTATTGATGATGGTGAAGGCATCGTCAATCTCTTCTCATATTCCTCTCGACTGCACATCAACCCTTCTTTCGACCAATCTATATCACTTACTGCCTTCTTTAAAAAAACTTCCACTTGTCGCGCAGTACGTGGAACACGAACCTTTACCATTTTGCCAAAGAACTCCAACTCGGATACTGCTCCCACGAATTCACCACTAGATACGTTTCGCACATTTCTCGGACCACTTTGTTTTAAACTTCTTAGAGTTACCACTGGCCCGCCGAATAAGACAACTGCGTTCTTCACACTCATCATCGTCAACTGTGGTTTTAGCGCATCCTTAACAATAATAATAAAAACAATGAATGGTTTAATAAAAACGCTTTCCATTTACAACTCATTTACACTCTTAACTATGTAACAAACCTTTGTTGACGACCCAATTTCTCTCACGAAATCAATTACCACGGATTTTTGATTTTCCGCATATTCAACATACAACAGTGCCGCCTCGAAGCTCTCTAAACTCACTTCATTCGGAGGAAGACTTGGCTTCTTTCCTTCAAGGATTGCCTCGGCCGTGTGGTTAAATACATGAAGTCCTACAGCTACCCGTTGCACCAAATCCACTTTCTTCGATTTTGGCGGGACGTCTCCAGCCAATAGAGCTTCGTTAAGCTCCTCAATGAATGCTTTGTTCATCGATTTTAATGCGTCCATTGCACCTTCACATAACGTATAGGTCACGTTGCCACCATTATGCGCATTTTGCATTTCCACGAAAACTTCCTCAAAGCCGTCGACACTTAAACTATCCAGCCTTTCTTTCGCCTCGGCGCTTTCATCTGGACTTGGTCTTAAACAAGTTGGAAACAAAAATATAAATCTATCGAGCAGACCGTGACCATGATCCATTCTACAAATTAGCTTTGTCGCGTTTGGAAGTTGCGTGGCCCCGATTATTGAAAATGCAGTGTTCTCCCCAATTTCGCGTACTTTTTCTGTCGCGAATCGATAGGAACACCTTTCCCCAGAGAAAAGCTCGCACAGCACTTGCACGTCTCCACTTGCGTTCTCTTCGTCACACTTTAATAGTTTGTTCATTATATCAAATACTTCTGGCGATACGATAACACCACTACCAACAGTCGACACGGCTTTCACCAAACCAGACGACGTAGTTTTTTCAATTATGAAGTGACCGTCATCAATCGCGTCTTGCACGGCAACCAACGGTTTCAGCGCTCCTTCTTTCAATGCCTGAGATTTGCCAGTTGTAGGTGCCCCACTAAATATGATATACACATTTAAAGGCATGGTTTGACAACCG